GTAATGCTTACAATGGGTAGTCAATGAAACCTTGCCTTCTGTTATTTTTGAGTGTCTTAAGAATACTTCCCTTTCCTAAGTTCATAAATGCATTCTGTATTTTCCTCTAAAAATTTTATTTCTCCTTTTTCGTTTAGGCTTTTACGCCAAGAACGGATTTTTCTGTATGGTTTTCTTGAACCTTAAAAAAAACTGTTTTTTAAACCTCTTCTGGATAACCAGTTGCCCAGCAGGAGTATTTTTACTACTTACTTAAAGGTTTTGGTTTATCCCTCTACTTTCTGAAATCACTTACCACTCAGTATTAAGATTCTGTAATAACAAAGCAAAACAAAGTATCAACCCCACAGTTTTATTTGTAAAGAACAAAGCATGAAAAGTCATATTTAAATGTACTCCAAAACCTGAAAAACCCACGTCAGTTTCTCTGATATGTATGTTAAAGTGCTTGATATCACAATACTCTTTAAATTTTATATTATGTTCAGATGAGAAAAAAAAAATCCAGTTCTGATGCATTGTTAACAATACAAAGAAACACAATATAATTTAAATGCAGAAATGTTCATTTTTTAAAAAAAGATACACAGGGTACATTTACACACGGCTCAAGTGTAACATAGAAGGATTTTTCTATGTTTAACACGCTCAGCTGATTGACAACAGGAACTCCTTACCATACCTCTCTACTGTGAACAAGGTTTGGAACAGACTGGAGCCACACACAAATTCATTCAGGAAATTGGATCAAGCATGATTCCCTCCCACATAACCCAAGGATGCCCTGGATTCCTTTAGATGAGGAGAAATTTTTTGATATATATTTTTGTTCCTCTGGTGTCAACTGCTCAATGTGATACATTTCTGGAGCTAATCTTTATTCTGTCCTTGAGAGGATGATCAGCTCCAGGAAGATCTGGGACAATGCATTTCTTCTTGGATTCCTCTGATCATCAGTACCCTCTTCAAAACAGGTTGGAAATCCAAGAGATTTGTAAATGTATTTTAATAGGAATAAAGGACCTAGAAGTTTATTATTTGTTTCTGTCTCTTTTTAAAGCTAAATGGTAATGTAACAAATGCTTAGGAAAGAAACAGGGACTTCAAAAGAAACTGATGACTTGGAAACAGGATTCATTTTATAAAAGTAGAGAGGAGGCCACGACTCCATTCTCAATGAAGGTATGTTAATACTGAAATATAAATAGCTAAGGTTCAGATTGTCCCTTCAACATGTTGAAAAGGATAGCTTCTGTAAACCTCACAGAGAAAATACAATACTCAAAGTGAAAATCTACTGAAAAATCATAATTCTTAGCAGAAAGAAGATATTTCGATTAAGAGCTACACTTTCAATACTGTCAAATAAATATTTCCCTGGGGATCTGAGGTCCACATCTGTTGCCTCCTGTTTCAAAATATCTTAGAGGCATCAACATATACTACACACAAACTGTTACGTATAGTTTCTACCTCTCTTTCACTTACATTTACATACAACAGTGCTTTATTCCAAAAAAAGGAGATACAAGCAATTCAGTATTTCCCCTGTATCATTCATCATTCATGTAGTGTGACAGAAGCTCATTAAAATGATTTTTTAAAAAGGCATGTTAAAGTAAATGTCACAGGGTCACAAAGATTCAAAAATGTCTGCAACATTTAAAATAAATTTTAGAGGGCAACTGCAGACTCTTGCAAGGTTTAGGTTTCTTATATCAGATTCTTGCTCCCAGTGGGAAAGGGGAGGGAGAGGGCGCCTTGGGAAGCCTTGCTTTTGTTCTCTATAAGGCCGATTTTACCCCAACTGGAATGGCACTTTATGCTACTCCACGCTGAGCCTCAGTCGTTTTTATGGCATTGGTGAGCCCCAACCAGGGCACTGCTTCTAGGGCCTCACACGTAATACCAACAAGTGTAATGCCGCTGTCAGAAAGGCTGACATTAGGAGTTTCAGGACATTTGGAAAACACTTGGAAATTAGATGTTTCAAGAGGTAATATTTTTGGCAATTTAGTTTTAAAATAATTTCCTCTTAAGCTATTATTATGTGAAAATACTAATTATGGTTCCAGGCATTACTTTTAATTTATTCTGAGGAAAAAAAAAATTACAAAGTTGATTTTTACTTACTTTAACTTTGAGGTGTAATTATATAAAGCAATATACTGATTTAAAAAATTAATATAGCAAAAAGGATACCTCTAAATAGGTACGGTCCTTCCAAAAGTCGGTTATGTACATTCATTCTAAAGGTTCTGCTACTGTCCTGCTCAAAATATTCTGGTATTGGCTTAGGGACAGTTATAAGCCACATAAGAGAGAAGTCTTATTTCTTTAGAATAATTTCCTTGCGGCCTCAAACTCTGCTTAAGCATCCTTTTTATTAATCAATTTGGATTGTAAGAACTTTTTGTTTCCGAATATTAAATTTCTTCTGAAAGGTCAAGATTTACCATCACTGGCAATACTCAAAAGAATGGGCTGTAGGCCCTTCAGATGGCTCAGAAGGAGGTCCCCACATGTTTGGAGTCCTGGCTGTATCACTGGAGTAAGTATATGGGCTCCTGATGTGAACAATTCAAAGGGCCCAGCACTCTAGAAGATGTGTCAGTTCTGGTGTGACTATTTCTTGTGAAAGTGGTCATTCCCATTGTTATGGTCCTATCACACAGAGTGGGATAAAACTTTACGTATAATTTATTTTTGGGTATTATTTTTAATGTAATGGTTTTATTCATAGGCCCCAAATCCAATTTTGCTCCCAGTTTTTATAACATATAATTTTCAACCACTTCAGAACCATTTGTTAAAAAGAATGTTAATCCTTATAAATGCTTATTATAAATGGATAGTAATATTTATATCCTACTTGCTTGGGTGTATGAATAAAGATCCAGGGGTACAAAGACTTAATATGAATGCATCGGAGCTCAGTGTCACGCAGTCTTGGTGTAATAAAAAACATGAGTTCTAGACTCTGTTGTCACTGACCAGCTGTGGGGTAAGTATTTAACCTCTCCGATCCTCAAGTGTTCCTATCTGTAAAATGGTCACTCAATGCTAGCCTGCTCACCTAAGTCATCCTTCGGCTGCCCAGAGTGTGCCAGAAGCATGGTCTTATGAGGAAGGTAATAAGAATAAAACCCTGCCCTGATCATTCAGTGGTTTCTGATCACGGCAACACAAGAACCTGTGTGAAATGGGTTCTGGACGTCTCCCATAATAGACTTTCCATGATCCTGGAAGAGCTGCGTTGTTACGCAGACACACTTTAGACTCAGGCGAACAAATCTCCAGTCTACCCAAGTCACCCAAAAACCTGTTCTTAAACCCTTCGTGGGTCTCTAAATGTGGCCTTCAACTCCCCGTTCCTCCTCAAATACTAAGTTAGATATTAAAAGGGGATGTGCCTTGGTCGCCTGGCTGAATACAGTGCTTGATAAGGGAGTGAGGCACTTGTTCATTAGTTTCTTCCTTCAGGAAAGAAGAGAAACAATACTGTTGGCTAAAGCCCAGGACCCTCAAGATCATACGGGGGTCCTGAGAGGCCATGGCTTTGCTTCTCAGCCACAACTGGGAATAAAACCCGGCGCAGTGCTGGGATTTCACTGCTAACAATGTGCAAATGCCTAATTGGTTACAGGACCTACCATAAACGAAGTCTTAAGGTAACTAGCTAATACCACGTTTATTTAACTTCCTTATAAAATACCCAACTGGAAAGTTACTCACAATGTTTGGTCTTTCAAAACTGTCGCCTCTGGTTCTGCTCCCATTTTGTCAGTCTGTGCTGTACTGGCTTTTACCTTCTCTGGGCCAGTTGTTTTACATTTATTACCCCTTCTTAGAAAAGGAACATAAAACTTGCCCTGAAACACCCAGAAAGGGTTCATTCTTTCTCTTTCCCTCTGTTATTTGCATTATCATGGTCAACAAATACTTTCACAAAAACATTCCAAGCTACACCAAGCCCTCCTCCTTCTTAGACATTCCTTCCATTTCCTGAGAGGGGGATGGGCACAGGAAGGGGGGAGGTGACTGGAACCTAACAAAGACAGGGTTTGAGATTATCCTTGAGGTAAGAACTGCTGCAGGGCGTAGATGGCCAAATTATAAGTGCAGAATCAAACTGCCGTTTGCAGTTCTTATAACTGTAAGACCAACACTTTGAAATTCACATCTCCTCAAAGTACCTCACATAACAAGAATAAAAATGCCAAGAATGAAGTTAGTCTAGGCTAATCTTTCCAAAGTGTAAAGAAGTGATAATCCTACAATTTAACATACTTCTCAGGGCTTTGTGTGTTCTCTTTCCAGTTCAGCCAAGCTCCTGGGGTCCAGTATTTAAAATATTTGAACTGTGTCTTTATCTTGTGCCGACGGAAAAAGATTTTCCAAAAGACTGGAGAAGTGACTCAATTCAAATGTATGAAACCAACTGTAACTTAAAATATAGAAGTGAGGACTATCACATACAGTAGGTAAAGCTGTTTACATTCACAATACAAAGGATCAGACACACCAGGATGGATGGCTACGACATAACAATGCATTCTGGGTTCCTTTGTGATACCTGGAGGGAAAAAATAAGCCCGACTGGGTTGCACTGTAATTACGTGTTTACTGGCTTCTTCCTGGCTAGCACCACTCTTTCCCTCCCAACTCCCAATGTGGTTAAGCTACTTATGTTAAGTCACAGGAATATTCAATCTAAGAAAAGTATCTTATTAGAGTAATATAATTTCTTAAAGAAGATAGCATATTTACACACATCTAACACATGAAAATACTCTATTTTATACTAAATTCCAGGTTCAAATGAACTACAATACAGCATTTTGCCTTGTCTGTAGTGTGAGGATTGTTCAAATTGGGGAATATGGTGTGTTGCCCCCTGCAGTGACTCACTACCTTATCAGACAAGTCCAAATCGGTCCCCATAGTTGGGGAAGGTTCAGGAGCAAGGGGTCTGGACTGAGAGCTTCTAGCCAGTTGGGTTACACATCCACTCCTTTGATGAGTGATCCTTCCAAGACTATGGTGAAGTCCTGAATGGTCTGCAGAATGCGGATGAGAGAGTTGACAGTCATGCGGTCTCGCAGGAGGGCACTCTCCTCATACATTCGGGTAATGGCAGGACATTCGGCCAAGAGTGGGATCCACTGTGGGAGCAGGCGATCCCTACAGAGTCAAAGAGAAAGAAGTCCTGAGCCCTGCCCACCTTGCTGCAGAACAACACACGTCAGAACTTTCAATGGGAAGGTGTAGGACTGGATGGAGCAAAATCCAGCCAAGTTCTCATGTCAGCAGAGGAGAAACCAAATTCAAGATTTTGGAAATTTGCTGGTTAAAAAGATACAGTAATGATACAGTGTTAATGGGAAAACCCAAGAGACTGAAAATAAGTTTGGGCGAATTGGCCATAAGGACCTACCCACATTAAAGAGATTCTCTATTCTGATTTAACACTTAAAAAAAAAAGAGGCAGAATGTCATTTTGTATCTCTTTTTTACAGGGGTGTTACTCAGACATCTGTGGCAAGGCATGCCAAAGTACGCTGACCCTTTGGGAAGAAAGACTGCATTAAATAGTCAGGATTAGCATTAAAAAAAAAAAAAAAACTTATACAACGTAACAAGGAACAAAAGGAAAGAAAAACATTAAGTGGATTTTACAAACCAAAAGAGGGGTTGCATTAGTCTAATAAATCAGAACAAGAGATAAAAGGAGATAAGGATCATGTTTAAAAGGAATTTTAAAAGCATAGCTGAAACTGGGCCCTTTTATTAAGAAGAAATATAGAACTTAGTTTTATAAACCAGTTCTTTCAGGAGGACATCTCAACCTTCAGTGTGTCCTGATTAACCTCTGACATTAGTTACCTGCCACTAAATATCTAAGACATCCTTATCGAGCATCTCTCAATATGCCTTTTGTTTTTTTTAAAGTTTATTATTTTTTTTGTAGTAATCTCTACACCCAACCTCAGGCTCAAACTCATGACCCCGAGATCAAGAGTCACATGCTCTTCTGACTGAGCTAGTAGCCAGGAGCCCCTCGATATGCCTTTCATGATAAAAGCAGTCATAACTAGGCCTGCCAATCTCCTGTTGGGGCTCTAGGTCTGTAGAAAAAAAAAAAAAACCAAAACACATTACACAGATAACTTAAAAAAAATCTTGTTCTAAAGGCCTACATGTTTCATTTCTTATAATTCTGACAGCTGTTTAAAAATTAATGGATTGTAAAGCTCCTATGCGTCATTTTCAAAAAATAAAGGGGTAGGGAACTGTCAAAGAGAAGACTTTATATACTTAAGGATTATTTATATCATATGAATTCTACAATGTTATTAAATTTAAAACAACATGGTGAAAAAATTAAAAAAAAAAAAAAGAAAAAAACCAACAACATGGTGCTATAGATACACAACACAAACCCTACACAGTAAATATACGTATGTGTGTCAAATACCTTACCAAACTACCCATTACCTATCTACCCACCTTTGGAGCCAGTGTAGTGTAATGGTTGAGAGCTTGGGCACTCAAATGAGACTGGGTATGAATCTTGGCTCTGCTTCTTTCTAGCTGTGTGACCCTGGGAAGCTTTGTTAACTCGGCTGTACCTTATACATCTGTACAGTGCTACTTCATGTATTGTGGTGGGGAAGTGATAGGAGGATTAAATGAGTACTTAGCATGGTGTCAATACACAGCAAGTACCCAATAAACATAGTTTCATAATAAAAATTGCAATGAAAGGAGCCCATGGGAGAGCTTTGGAAGGGGCATGATCTGGGGCAGCCCCTCCTGGACTTTTGTTCAAAACATAACAAAGATAGGGAAAGTCAAGAACTGGCTTTATACCGTGTTCCAAGGCAAACTAAAATCTGGAATTTGCCGTCCTTTCCAATGTTCCTGGGTGCAGTATTAATAGCATTTACATAGTGGCAGAAGGTTTTGCAGGATGATTTCTGAATAAGGACATCGTCTTCATTGTCTAGAATCTGGTCAGTGGTTTCAAAATAAGCAACCGCTTTCTCTGGGGAAGGAAGTCAGAATCATATCACAATACACATTAATACTTCATACACAGAAAGATTAATCACTTAGTTTATTCTGGAAACACTAATGGTGCTTTGCATTAGAGCCAGTCTGGAAACCAAAATCATTACTTTATCACTGATTTCACGATGAATTCTAGAGGTCCATGTTTCCTGGTGGAACGATATGCTCCGGGAGTTTATTTTCTAATCTAGACTGCATTCCAGAAGGGTGCAAAGTTTACTCTCTTTGGAATACCTTCAAGCAATGGAAACTGGCAAAAAAGAAAAACAGATGGACTCCCCGGTCAAGACTGGAACCTTCTAGGAGTAGCTAGCAAATACATGGTAGCCATCGAAATGTGCCCTCTGTTCTAGTTATACAGTGGCTGGCTGACATTTTGCAATGAAATCCTTGAAATGGAACTGACTCAAGAAATCTGAGGAAGAGATATGTATACATATATTAGAAACAGGAGTAGTAAGATTCTGGGCATTCCAAAAGAAAAAAAAAATCACTCCTGGAGGCCTAGCTCTGTTAACCTTTTCTTTGTCTAAAAACTCTAAGTTGGATAAAACCAACCACTTCATCTAGACTATATTTACAAGACACAAAATGATTAATCACCCCTTTAAGAAAACTGGGAATTCTAGAAGAACCGCATTACAAAGCTTATTTAGCAAGCTAGAGCGGTACACTGCAACAGAACTTTCTGTGATGGATGAAATGTTCTGTATCTGCAAGGTTCCATTTGGTAGCTACTAGGTAAGGCAGGTGTGACTAACGAAGTGAATTTTAAATCTAATTTAAATTAAATAAATTTAAATAGCCACACGTAGCTATGGTAGTGGTTATCATACTGGATAACATAAAGCTAAAGTAATCCTTTTAAAACAAAACAGAAGTTATTTTATGTCATTTATTCCTTAGCTCAAAGCCTTCCGATGACTTCCTATTTCAATCATGATAAAGACCCAAGTCCTTGCAAAGGTCTAGAAGGCCCTGAAGCTCCTGGCTCTGGCAGTACACAGCCCTCTCCCCCAGTATCCTCTTACTCTGTCTCCCTCACTCTGCCCCACTCGCACTACACTTGCTACTCCATGAAATGGCCAAGCACACTCCAAGCTTGGGGCCTCTGCCCTGGCAGTTCTCTCAGCTTGGAGTGCTCTCTCCCAGATATTCATATGGCTCAATTCCTCACTTCCTTAAAGTCTTTGCTCAAATATCACCTGGTCCACAAAGCGTATAATCACCCCACTTAAAAAAGCACTCTTCACTCCATTTCCTTTCACTTTACTATTTTTTTTCCCAGATCAACCATCACTTTCTAACATACCAGCTGAACTGCATACTTGTTATGTTTTTGTGTTTTATCTGTGTTCCTGTCCCCACCAGAATGTAAGTTTGCCAACCAAAGGAATTTTTGTTTTGTTTCCTTATATCTCAACGTGTATCTTTTTTTTTCAAAGTAGGCTCCACACTCAATCTAGGCCTGAACTCATAACTCCGAGATCAAGAGCTGCATACTCTACTGCCTCAATGTGTATCTTGAGCATCTCGAACAGTGAGTGTCTGGAATATTACGGACACTACAATATTTGTCGACTGAATGAAAAGCAAAGAGAGTGCTAATTTGATATATTTTTTTAAAAACATACTCCCTTGTCACTAACCCTTATTTGCTTAAATTCCTGGGTCTTCGAGTTTTCTAAGAAACATTTCAGTGCCTTTATAGTAACATACACCTGTTTTAATTTACCTATGAAGTCCCAGATGAAGACATTCTTGTGAAAGATGCGGGCAGATTTGAAGCCATGGTGGAAGACTTGTTCAAGTGCCACAACCAGGCCATTTTCTCCACACAGCAACACCGTGAGGCTTCCTCTCTGTGGAACAAAACACACAGTGCCAAAGAATAATCTGCTGCACCTACGTTTAAGAAATATACTAGAGAAGGAGCATGTGAGTGGCTCAATTGGATGTCCGACTTCGGCTCAGGTCATGATCTCTCGGCTCATGAGTTCGAGCTCCACATCAGGCTCTCTGCTGTCAGTGTGGAGCCTGCTTCGGATCTTCTGTCCCTCCCCGCCCTCTCACTCATTCATTCATTCATAAACAAACAAATAAAGAAAGAAAAAAAGAAAAACACTAGAGAAAAGGGTGTTGAAGGTAGCTATGAAGTATGTTCTTGTAGCTACTAGAAAGCTTACAAATAAAAACATACCCTCTACTGTATGTATCATGTATAAAAGTGGCTTTAAAATCATATATATATATAATTTTTTTTTAAGTAGAAGTAGACTTCATGCCCACTGTGGAGCCCCATGCAATGCTTAAACTCATGACCCAGAGATCAAACAGGAGTTGAGATCAGGAGTCAAATGCAACACTTCAATGACTGAGCCACCCAGGTGCCCCTAAAATCCTATACATTAAGTTTGACAGATGATCATACCTCTTTTTCAGGTTTATGAAAATGCTTCACAATATTGTTTACAGCTTCCCCAATTCCTTCTTGGATCTGTCCAGCATTGGGTTCTGAAAAAATAATGAACAGCGGCTGAATTCTCATGTAAGGGAAATACACCAAAGTACTATGGGATATCAACTGTGTCCACCCATGCAGGAAATGCTTCACCACAGAGGATGGCTTGTCAGGCGCTCCATGAAACTTGTCTCAGGTCAGTCTGGCCAAGGGGAGGCATCTTGGCACAAAGGAATTGTGATTCCTAGATTCCAATTCCAACCTTACCATTGCAATCTATAACCCTGGTTAAATGTCTAACTTCTGAGTTTGAATTTCCTCAATTTAAAATAGGGAAAACATATACCTCATGGGTCACTGGGAAAAGTGAATGAGATATTGCAGGTGTAAATAACCTGGCATGGTACTTGTCACAAAGTGCTAGCAAGCTCCTGGATCTGAGGAGTGAGGTGGAAAGACCCATGGCATCATTCCAGGTACTCCCTTATCCTACTTAACTCTTGAGTTCCTTAGTGGGCACAGACCAAGGTTTGTGAAGCTCTGAATGGCTAACCTGAAATCTGTGTTTTTGCTACTGTGTTTAAAGTAAAAGGAAGATGCCAGGTACATGAGGCACCCAAAGCCCAGAACAGCTTCCCTTTCTGGCTATTTAGTCTACCTGGGTACTGCTTCATTCTCCCGGCCTGCATTTGCTCAGGTCTTGTTTTTAAGGGAGACCTTAGGGGGCTGCCTGAATGGGATCTAAACTGCCTTTGCCTCCCAAAACCCAAGAATGGTTAAAAAGAGATGTTAAACACATTTTATCTAGGGATAGAAGTAGGTAACGAAAAGTTTAAGTATTTGGTACTTTCTTGTGGTGATTAACTCTTACGTTTACATATCACACCATAAAGGACAAACTACACATTCTATTGTTTAAGAATCTTTGAATTCAGGGTTCCTGGGTGGCTCAGTCAGTTAAGCAGCTGACTTCAGCTCAGGTCATGATCTCTTGGTTCATGAGTTTGGGCCCCACATCGGGCTCTGTGCTGACAGAGTAGAGCCTGGAGCCTGCTTTGGATTATGTGTGTCTCTCTCTCTCTCTCTCTCTCTCTGTCCCTCCACCGCTTGCACTCTCTTTCTCTCTCAAAATAAATAAGTAAACCTTATATAAAAAAAAAAAGGAATCTTGAATTCATACTGCTGGAGGATTTCTTGCATAAAACATTCTTCAGGTAAAACTCAAGTAAGTTTTTTTCTTTCCTTTTTTAAGTTTATTTATTTTTGAGAGAGAGAGAGAGTGGAAAGGGGCAGAGAGAAAGGGAGACAGAGGATCTGAAGTCTGCACTGACAGCAGGAAGCCTGATGCAAGGCTCAAACTCACAAACAGCAAGATCATAACCTGAGCCAAAGTTGGACGCTTAACTGACTGAGCCACCCAGGTGCCCCCTCAGGTAAGTTTTTTCTATACCAATGCATAGAAATTGTTAAAAGGAAGGACTGATACTGTGGCCTCTTCAGTTGCTACTAATTTTTTTCCTTTCTCTGAATATTTTCTCTTTTTAAGAAAAAAATTTTGTTTTTATTTTTAAGTAACTTCTATGCCCAACATGGGGCTTGAACTCACAACCCGGAGATCAAGAGTCACATGCTTGGGGTGGCTAGGTGGCTCAGTAAGTTAAGCATTGGACTTCGGTTCAGGTCATGATCTCACTGTTCATGGGTTTGAGTCCCACATCGGGCTCTGTGCTGACAACTCAGAGCCCAGAGTCTGCTTCAGATTCTGTGTCTCCCTCTCTCTCTGGCCCTCTCCCACTCACACTCTCTCTCTCTCAAAAATAAATAAAACATTAAAAAAAAAAAGTCACATACTTTCTAAGCCAGCAAGG